AGGCCGTGGCTCAGCAGTGCCGGCATCTCCGCCACCAAAGAGCCAAGGCGACGGCACCGCAGGCCAGTGCCGGGGTGTCCGCGCCAGCCCTGGAGCAGAGGGGTCGGAGCAGAGACGTCCCCTGCCGCCAGCGAGAGCCCAGGACACGGCGGGCAGGACGCAGGCTCCGTCCGGGAGCCCCGGCCCCTGCGCGGGCTCAGTCGGCTGCTGGAGCACAAGGAGGACACGACGCGCCAGGTCTCAGCTTTCCTCTTTATTGCGAGTTGACATCGGGGCGAAGGCGCTTCCCCCTCACCCAAGGGCAGCACAAGCAGCACCCATGGGCGCCCATGGAGGAGACAACCATGCAACACCCTCCGAAGGCTCCGACCGCTCCGCGGGGCAGCGACGCTTCGAAGAGAAAAAACAAACCAGGAAAACCCTAAACTAAACAGCACTCCAGCTTGTCCCACAGTTGGTGTTAAAAGACTTGCTTTGGCTGCAAGACTGCAGAGAGCTTTAGCTGCAGAGGGAGCTTAGGTGCACGATGCTGCTCTGAAAAGACAAGGAATTCACTTGTGTTCTGGACCCTTGTTTATAATTTATTCTGTCATTGCAAAAACAAAAAGTCCTTTTAGATATCTTTATACTTTAAACACTAGGAAAGTTAAGATAGATCTCTTATATATATATATTTATGTATATATTTATATATGTACATACACATATATACACAGCGATGCATTTAGAAGTTACCATTTCCTCGGTGACTACAATACTGCTCCCTGGATGACTTGATTTTGCCATGATCATGACTTGGATCCAGTACTAAAAATACGTTGTGCTGTGTGCAGGGAGTAACAAGGAGCCGCCACCGGGCGCTCGCGGCTCTTCCTGCAAGTTAAGGACGTGGCACCTTCCCTGCCCTCCTTCCCAAGGCAAAACCTGGGTATTTCTGCAGGGTGGGAAGTGGAAGGAGCCGGGTGCCGTGGGGCAAAGGCCACGTCATGGCCACGCTCATGGGATGCGCTCTCATCTCCCCTTGGGAAAGCTCATCACAACGTGGAGGTGCAGAATGCAGTTGAAGCCACCGGGAAGGCTCCTGCTGAGGCTCTTGGCCAACACAGACGTGTGATCCAGGGGCAAAAGGAGAAGGAAGGATCCCGTTGCGTCTTCCCTTGGTCACCGGGCCCCAGCACCGCGGGGCTCTCCGGCCTTGGCCGCGCCGCTCACTTCACCTGTGCCGCGAGGAAGCCGGACTCCCGCATGCTCTCGTAGTACTCGACGGCCAACGCAAAGTCAAACTCATTGATGGGCGGCCCGTCGATGGCGATCTTCATGACATCGGAGAGCCCCTCGTCCCCGTGCGACCGTCCCCGAGCCAGGAGCTCCCGGCCCCGGCGGAGCTTGTCGGCCAGCACGGAGCCCAGCGGCAAGGCCAGCGCAACGGCGGCGAGGGCGGGGAAACCCGGGAAGAGCCCGTGCATCTCGGAGCTGCCGTAGACCAGCTTGACGCAGAGCTCCTTGAAGGAGAGCTGGCCGAGGCTGAACACGATGCGCTTGAAGAGCGGGAAGTCGCTGCGCGCCCTGTCGCTCTCCACCACGCGCGAGTACGTCTGCAGGAGGAAGTCCAGCTCGCCCACGCCGTAGCCGCCAACGTCCTCCAGAGAGCGGGGGTAGCACTTGGGGTTGAAGATGGCCGAGAAGGAGCTGACGGCCTCCAGGAGGCTGCCGGGGAAGCTCTCGAGGAGGCTGCCGCGCACGCTCTCCAGGTAGCTCTCCTTGAGGCACTCGA